TCTCTTCAAAATTAAGGCATCATATTCCAAAGCACATTCTTTTGTTATAATATTATTCATTAATCCAACCTCATTAAGTATGGACTGGAAGTTTGGGCAAGCACATATCCATCACATCTAAAAAGTATTCTAACTACCCAAAAATTTATTGCAAGAATAATAACATTTTCTGAATTTACTGCCCATTCTGCCCATATTTTCAACCAGCTTAAAATCTTTGACATTTATAAGCTCACAACTTTCTCCTTTTCATGTTTTTGCACGATATTGTTAATGGAAACACACCACACAACATGTCAGCCTACATCCTGCATTATATTCAACACAATCATAATACTAGACAACAAAACAGAAATGAAATCTTAATCCCAAATATGAACACAACAATTTGTACATTCGCAATATCTTATTTAGGTCCAAAATTATGAAAGAGTCTACCTGTTGCATTGAGAAAGAATGAAAAAAATCAATTTTCAAAATTAAAGTGATTATGTATTTTACATATTATCAGTATTATTAAAATTTGATATGTCGTTTTTCTTTCTTTTTTATTTGTTTTACTATTTTAGTGTCTACTGTCACTATAATATTTAATTTTATATAAACCTGTACAATGGATCTGACTCTGTAGCTATTTCCGGTTCATTCTACTCATGAGAATTTTCATTACAACAGTGTTTGTAAATACTCGCATGTGTAATAATTATGGGTAAAGAAATAAATTATTATTTAAACAATAAAACAACATGTTTTTTGTAGCCTATTTCACCTCTACAAAATGCAATTGTTTCTCTGGGGATTTAACTTAAAACCCAGTGAATATGCAAGCAATAACAAAATGTTAGATGAAATGACTTTTTTGGTGTTTTGGATTTATAATTTATTTTCACTGATTTCTGTGTTAAAGTAAAACATAGGAAAAAAGGTATATTCGCTGGATTTTATTTTCAGTAAATCATTCATGGTGAACAGTTATCACAACTTTGGGGTAAAATTTCTTGGTAATGAAAAAAGATATCAAAAATTCAAATAGTAACTTTGTGCCCACACTCAAGCTGAGTAGAATGAGCTATATCAGAGGTGTTTTATCCTAATTTGTAGGAGGAGATACATTTGGTGCGCAGCTATCCAAAAATCAGTTGTTTGGCAGTTACTATGGCAATGGTTGGCCAAAATATTATTTAAAATTTTATTTACTAAGTAGGGTGAAGGTGTGACCCGTCTGCCAGGTTTGGGCCAAGATAATTAAACTAAAATGGACTGCATTTCCCTCAACCTGTTTAAGTGGGATAACTATATAGGATAAGCAACTATAACAACACAACTGCAAAATAACAAAATTTCTCTAAAGGATGTAGTAGATTTTTAGGAACTAAAATTGACACTAATTATTATATAAAATGGTTATAAATCAAATCAGACATTCACAATATATTTTATGAAAGCATGCAATTCATACTGAAAAAAAATCAAATTAGATGCAACGTTCATGTGGTCATGTGACTGCTAAGTAAATAAATCTTCCATTGAAAATGAAGAGTGAATAAATTAAAAAGGATATCAACATTTTTTTATTGAAAAATGTAGAATAAAAACATGGGAAACATAACAGTCAAAGCGATTTTGCACAATTTTTGTTCAGTCATCACAACAATGCAAGTTAGTAATTTTAACCACAGTTGTGTTCTATTTTTGATAGAGCACTGAAATTTTCATTGATAATAAGATATCTATGAATTTCATGAAGTGTAACAAGTTCATTTTGATTAACATGCTCCGAAAGAACACATCCTTAAACTGTCATTTAAAATGTTTCTGACAACAATTGTAGAGTATTATTAATTTGATTTCACCTCCACGAAGTTCAAACCATGATCAAAAATTAAAAATATTTCCAAATGTGAAAAAATAGTAGTTGTTTATATTAATGAACAAATTGTGAAAAAATTGGGGATATTTCAATCATAACAAATACAATATAAACAATTATTATCTACAGCTTACAATAAAAATGACAATTTTTGAAAAATAACAAATTTATGCTAGTTTCAGTCAGAGCTGTGATAACAAAAAATGTTGAACAAAGCGAAAATCGATTGAATATTTACCACAATATAATAAAATTATGACATTCAAAGATTGTTTATATTGCCATGTGGATTTGTATATATATTTTATTTCATTTTCGGGAGGGGGGTAACGTAAAATTTTCGTTCACAAAAACCCCATCATTGGTAATTGGGTTTCGTATTGGGTGGGTTTCACGGGGAGTAGGGCTTTGTCGCAGTAACTGGTCCTTTTATCGTTGCTGAGAATTAAAGTTTAATGTTTCTTTAACAACTTGCGCTATTCTGAGAATACCATCCTTAGAAGCTATTAATTTGGCCCTATGATTCGTGCAGTTGCTCTGGCAGGAGTTCCAAAATAAGACCCTTGCTCTGATAATGCCCATTGTTTCAAAAACCAAGAAACATTATCATTATGTTCTTATTGGTGTTGCAAAGGATAGTTGAATATTGTTTATTAAAATTAATAATCCCCATAACCGTTTGCAATATAGATAAATTATAGTACGTAACAAATATATGACTCAGTCTCATCAATGAAATAAAGAAATGTATATATATATATATATTTACATTATTACTAATGCATTGCAATACAATTAAATTGAAAGAAATTGCAATATAAAATATTCCTTCAGTAACACTTCTCAAGGGCATATTTCACGGTCAGTGTTATTTACGAAAATATTTGTTTATAATTTTAGAAATTGGCTTGGCAATTCCTATCCTAATTAAATATTAAATATTAATTATTGGCGATCCGCTCCGCTAGGATTGCCCTTATAATCACTTTTGTTGGCGATCCGCTCCGCTAGGATTACCCTTATAATCACTTTTGTGGCTTTGTGTGCGTGTGTCTGTGTGATTTCCAATGTTTTCACGTATTATTTCTTCTGTGATTTTTTTGGCTTGGCCGATTTTGCTCAAACTTGGCAGGTAGGTCACACCTTCACCCTAGTTATAAGGAAAAATCTGAAAAAAAATGTTGGCCCATAGTTGCCATAGCAACAGCCAAAAAATGATTTTTGGATAGCTTCGCGCCAAATGTATCTCCTCTTACAAATTTAGGATAAAATACCTCAGACATAGCTCATTCTACTCAGCTTGAGCACAAAATTACTATTTGAATTTTTGATATCTTTTTTTTTCATTACCGAGAAATTTAATCCTAAAGTTGAGGTAACTGTTCACCAAGAATGGCATTTTAACTCTCCTGTGATTTTTTGGGCTGGGCCGATTTGGTTCAAACTTGGCAGAAAAGTCACACCTTCACTCTAGTTAGGTTGAAAAATCTGAAAACAAATTTTCGCCATCGTTTGCATGGCAACAGCCAAAAAAACTATTTGTTTAAATACCTTCCCGCCAAATGTATCTCACCCTACAATTTCAGAATTAAAAAGCACTCAGCTTGAGTTTGGGCAAAGATTTACTGTCCTATTTTTGTATGTATATTTTCATTAACGAGAAAATTGACCTCAAAGTTGGGGTAATTATTCACCAGCAACTCCTCTGTGATTTTTTGGGCTCGGCTGATTTTGTTCATACTTCACAGGTAGGCCGTACCGTCACTAATTGGGAAAAAAGCCTGGCCCACCACTGCCATTGCAACAGCCAAAAACTGATTTTTTAATACTTTCGCCCCAAATGTATTACCTCCTACCAGTTTTGTAATAGCAGTGTTCAGATGATCATGCTTTTTATTTTGGCTACGTTGCGCACTGGTAAGATGTCACTGGCGCTGTATCAACGTAATCCCAACGCAACTTTGAACTGTAAATGCTGCCTTCATTCTAGAAAATACTATTGCAAAACGGTTGGAAATACTAAATGTAACAGCAGAATACGTCCTAGTAATAAACTAAGTGACTTCTAAAGACTGAATGGTTTTTGCGAACTTCGTATACAGGGCCCATTTAGTTATAAACTGACGTTAGCTTCACGTTCATGTCCTACCATGGAAACATGTTGCTTGATTTTAGCAGAGCGGGTCGTCGACCAGCCTACCGGCTTGTATTGACTATGTCCCGGACTGTTTACTAGTACTTACTTACTTGTCAGTGTCTGACTGTTATATACAGCCCAGAACACGTCAGAATAGTAAAAAAGAAGTCAGGAAATGTCAGTTGCCCGTGCCTTGTGAACCAAAACAATCTGTCACCCTTCGCCGCCTACAGCATCGATATGATTTTATATTGCATGGAAAAGAACACTAAATACAGCTATCCCGGTCAGCAATCAAATCATCAAATCGTCATGGTTTATGCAACTGGTATTTCCATCTATTTGCTTAATGGTCTGAACTTTAAAATTGTCAAGTCCGAGAGTGTGTTTTATGTACAGTGACGCCAAGTCCATCTTGGGCTAGTGGCATTGTCAAATTTTAGAGAGTACAGGAAAAGTTTCAGTTAGAAATTTACATGCATATCAAGATCCTTTTTTGGAACTGAACATGTTATATATTCACCAAAAACAACGTTGCCATGTTTCTAGGCGTACAACGAATTGGAAACAAAAGAAATCATCCGACCCAAACGACCTATGTCCTTGAGAGAGTCTAGTCTTATCGCCTTTGCCTTTGGAGCGAAAAAGATCGAAACTACTTACCGCGGCGATAGATACCTCAATTATATTTTGATTTTAGTAATCGAGGGTAAAAACCGTGTTTATGCTATGAGAAAGTGCAGATCCTGAACGTACTTTAGTGCAAATACATTTTTCCCAATCACGGCGAACGCAATTTAATGGGAGTGAATTTCCATATTTGTGTGCGGTGTCCAATGTGGCGACCAAGGGCAAAAACATGGTTATGCAAATTTGCTTTAGTTGAAAATTTGAGTTTTTTCGGCGATATCTACGTGAATTTGAACCAAAATGTTATCCGCAAGACTCAGAATACGACTGTGACAGCCACTGAAACGCAATTGAAGGCAAATGAGCACGTCAAGCAAAAAAGACTTTTTCGAGTCGTGGCGTAAAATGGAGGCAAATACCATTTTGACTCTTGAGGGGAATGGAAATCAGTTGATTTGAGGGTGTCACAATGAGCAAAGGAGTAAATCGTTTTTATGCTACGAAAAAATGCAGACCTTGAACGTACATTTTGGACTTTAGTACAACGTC